TGCGGGTGCCGCCACTGGGGCCTTCGGTGGAGCTCCCTGAGGGGTCATGAAACGTGCGAGGGGGTGTGCCGAAATGGGAAGGGTGATGACATGCGGGCGCTGCCACTGAAGCTTTCGGTGGAGCTCCCTGTGGGTCACGAAACGTGAGAGGGGTGTGCCGAAATGGGAGGGGTGACGCCATGCGGGCGCTTCCATTGGGGCCTTCGGTGGGGCTCGGGGCAGCGAAACGTGTGATGGGTGTGCCGGCATGGCCGGGGTCAAGCCATGCGGGCGCTGCTACTGGGGCCTTTGGTGGTGGAGCTCTCTGCGGGTCACGAAACGTATGAGGGGGTGTGCCGAAATGGGCGGGCTGACGCCATGCGGGCGCCGCCACTGGGGTCCTCGGTGGAGCTCCATGTTGGTCACAAAACGTGTGAGGAATGTGCCGGCCGAAATGGGCGGGCGCTGTCACGGAGACCTTCGGTGGAGCTCCCTATGGGGCCACGAAACGTGTGAGAGGTGTGTCGAAATCGGCGGGGTGACGCCATGCGGGCGAGCCACTGCGACCTTGGGTGGAGCTCCATGTGGGGCAACGAAACGTGTGAGGCGTGTGACGTCATGGGCAGGGTGTCGCCATGCGGGCGCTGCCACTGCGGCCTTCGGTGAAGCTCTCCGTGGGGCCACGAAACATGTGAGCTTGTGTGCCGAAATGAGGTGACGGGATGTGCCGGCATGGGCGGGGTGACGCCATGCGGGCGCTACCATTGGGGCCTTCGGTGGTGCTCTCAGTGGGGTCACGAAAAGTGTGAGGGGGTGTGCCAGAATGGGCGGGGTGACGCCATGCGGGCGCTGCCACTAGGGCCTTCGGTGGAGCTCCCTATGGGGCCACGAACCGTGTGACGGGGTGTGCTGATATGGTCGCGCGGAGGGCAGTGGCAGGGATGGGTGAAGGGGGGAGGGCAGCTGGAGGGAGACGCGGGGCGCTGTCTCTTTCAAACGAGGACCCAGAACAACAGGATGGTCGGAAAAACAATGCGCCCTCCATCCTTGAGTTTATGGCGAACTTTGAGACGCTTGTGCGCGGCGTTGAGGCGAGAGCCCCATTCCGAGAACGACTCCCTCAGTTGCAATGTTACAAAACCCATCCTGGAAGCTATTGCAATGTTCCAACACGGATGTACCCGGCCATGAGGCGAGAGCTCCATTTTGAAAGCCACTCTCCATTTTGCAACTGCTGCAATTATCAAGCTTCAGTCTCAGGCGAAACGCCCGGCACCTCCCGACCGACACGCGTGGGAGCGATGGAGCCAGGAACGATGAGGATGATGAGGATGAGGATGAGGACGATGATGATGATGCTGATGATGATGATGATGATGACGATAGCGATGAATATGATGATGATGATGATGATGATGATGATGATGATGATGATGATGATGATGATGATGATGATGTTGGTGGTGATGATGATGATGAGGATGATGATGATGATGATGATGGTGATGATGATGACAATGATGATGTTGCTGCTGCTGCTGATGATGATGATGATGATGTTGGTGATGGTGACGATGATGTTGCTGTACACGGCGACGCAGAGTATGATGATGATGCTGATGACGACGATTCTGATGATGCTGATGATGATGAGGAGGAGTACGAGGATACTGATGATGAGGATGCTGACGCTGCTGATGCTGGTGCTGATACTGATGACGATGGTGATGATGAGGGTGATGCTGATCACGATCACGCTGCTGCTGATGATGATGACGACGATGACGATGACAATGACGATGACGACGACGATGTTGTTGATGATGATGATAGTGATGATGCTGATGATGACGACGATGATGATGATGATGATGATGATGATGATGATGCTGATGATGATGATGATGATGATGAGGCTGCTGCTGCTGATGATGATGCTGATGCTGATGCTCACGATGATGATGCTGATGACGACGACGACGATAACGATGATAATGCCGATGATAATGATTGTGATGAATACGCTGATGATGATGCTGATGTGGTTAAAGATGTTGCCGATGAAGGTTGCGATGGCGATGGCGATGATGGTGATGACTATGACGATGATGATGATGCTGATGATAATGTTGGTGGTGATGATGATGATGAGGATGATGATGATGATGATGATGATGATGATGATGATGATGATGATGTTGATGCTTCTGCTGACGATTATGATGATGCTGATGATGATGGTGGTGGTGGTTGTGATGATGATGGTGGATGATGGTGATTACGTTGATGGTGTTTGTGTTGAGGATGGTGATGCTGATCACAGTGATACCGATGAAGACGATGCTCTGATGATGATGATGATGCTGATGATGATGATGCTAATGACAATGATGATGCTGCTGATGATGATGGTGCTGATAATGATGATGGATGATGATGGTGATTAGGGTATTGATGTTAATGATGATGCTGATCACAGTGATGACGATAAAGACGGTGCTCTGATGATGATGATCATCATGGTGAAGATTTTGCTGATGATGATGCTAATGATGATGACGATGATGATGATGCTGATGATGGTGATGGTGGTGATGATGATGATGATGATGATGATCTCGTTTCTTCTTAACTATACCCAGGTCGCTTTTACCGTTTTGTATTCGGCGTGGTGGAAGCATTTTTAAAAGTGGTTCCAGGTCCCAGCAAGATAACTAGAACGCATCACATTGTTCAGCGTTGCCGTCCGCGACGTCCCAAGTCCCTTCTCCTTGCCTTCTGCCCTCAGCCCCCCAGCTCTCTCGGTACGACTGCTCGACGTCCTCGGAGCCCCTCCTGGGGCGTCGGTTCTCTGGGCCCGATGGCCGATTGCCCCTTTCGGCGCCATCGGGCCTCTGGGCTTGTTTCGGGCCAGTGTTAGACCGGTGTTGAATTTTGTTGTTGTTGTTGTTGCTGTTGTCGTCGTCGTCGTCGTCGTCGTCGTCATCGTCGTTGTTGTTGTTGTTGTTGTTGTTGTTGTTGTTGTTGTTGTTGTTGGTGTTGTTGTTGTTGTTGTTGTTGTTGTTGTTGGTGTTGTTGTTGTTGTTGAACATTATTTATTCTAAAGAATAATTATTGTTGGGCCCCCTGGTGCGCGCCCCCCCTGCGCCGCCTAGGCCGCAGCTACATTTTCATCATTTTCGTGAGGAAGCCTCAGGTAAAACGATGTGATCCAGATCCGGTTGTTTTGTTGTAATCCGTTTTCCCTTGCAAAAAACACTATAAAATGACATTTCTTGTTCTAATATAATCAAATTTCAAGAATCCCTTGCAAAAAATAAGGTAAAGTGGACATTCGCGCGCGCAAGACGAAATCCTTCCAAAAGCTTAGTGTTCGGAGCGATTTTAACATAAAAACATCAAAAAACCAATGGTTTTTCAACAAAAAAATGTCAAAATCTCATCCCGCGCGCTCTTGCGGATTCGTAGGAAACCCAACACTTTTTAAACATTTCTGTCAAACGGGCTTTTGCGAGCAACTTTTTCGAACTTCTGCGACAACGGTTGCGCACCTGCCAGGGCCATCATCCCTGTCAAATAATACCATGCGGGACACATTCGTTTTTTCTTCGCGCGCGCACGCCGTCGTCGTCGGCCGCGGGGCCCTGAATAGTAGCCACGGTCGTCCGCATGCCACGAAGTGAAGTGTCCGAACGTCATAGGGCGGGAAGCTGGGTGTGGGTGGTGGCGAAGAGTCGTTTGGAAATTTGGTAGAGCTTGAACCGGCCCCCCCACAAAGTGGGGGTATTGCCCGCCTCCTATGAAAACCCTGGCACTGGTGAGAACGGAGTGTCCCCAGTCTTAAATGATTGTTGTTGTTGTTGTTGTTGTTGTTGTGTTTGGCGCCTCTAGCTCTGCGAGGGAGAACGGCGGCAGAGATACGAAAAAAGGGAGTGAAGACAGCAGGGAAGACAGGGAACAGCCTTCGACCAGAAAGCAAAAGACGCTGAAAAAATGATGATCCACAGCGAGGCGCCTAACAACGCCAAAGAAACAGCCAGAAACGCACACCGTCACGTTTTCCTAGCGTTGTTAGCTTGTCGAGAGCCGAAAGTTCAAAACGCAAAAAAGCGCCCAGGGCCTTTTGAAGAACAACCATTACGATGATGATGATGATGATGATGATGATGATGATGATGATGATGATGGTGGTGGTGATGATGATGATGCTGGTGCTGATGATGATACTGCTGATCATGGTGATGATGCTGATGATGAGTATGATTGTGTTGTTGGTGGTGGTGATGGTGATGATAATGCTGATGATGCTGATGATGCTGCTGCTGATGATGACGGTGATGATGATGCTGATGATGATGATGATGACGATGATGATGATGATGATGATGATGATGATGATGCCGCTCCTGCTGCTGCCGATGATGGTGGTGGTGATGATGACGATGATGAGGACGATACTGCTGCTGTTGATGATGATGGCGGAGATGATGATGATGATAACGATGACGATGACGATGATGATGCTGTGTGATGATGATGATGATGATGATGATGATGATGATGATGATGATGATGATGATGATGATGATGCTGATGATGAACATGTTGCTGATGATGGCGATGATGGTGTTGGTGGTGGTTGTGATGATGCTCCTGATGATGCTGTGTGATGGTGACGATGCTGTTGGTGGTGCTGCTGATGATGATGCTGATGACGACTGTGATGCTGCTGCTGCTGCTTCTGCTGCTGCTGATGATGCTGCTGCTGGTGATGATGATGATGATGATGATGATGATGATGGTGGTGGTGGTGATGATACTGATGAGGATGATGATGCTGCTGATGATGATGCTGATGATGATGCTGCTGCTGCTGATGATGATGACGATGCGGAGCAGGACGAGGAGGAGGAGGAGGATGAGGATGAGGATGATGGTGCTGATGATGACGACGATGCGAGGAACAGGAGGAGGAGTAGGAGGAGGACGAGGAGGATGAGGACGAGGTGGAGGAGGAGAAGCAGGAGGAGGAGGAGAAGGATGAGGGGGAGTCGTCGGAGGAGCAGGAGGTGGAGGGGAAGAGGAGGAGGAGGAGGCGGAGGAGGAGGAGGAGGAGAGGAGGAGGAGGAGGAGGAGGAGGAGGAAGGAGGAAGAGGAGGAGGAGGAGGAGGAGGAGGAGGAAGAGGAGGAGGAGGATGGTGGTGCTGATGATGAGACGATGCCTGGAAGAGGAGGAGGAGGAGGAGGAGGAGGAGGAGGAGGAAAGAGGAGAGGAGGAGGAGAAGAGGAGAAGGAGGAGAAGGAGCAGAGGAGGAGGAGAAGGATGAGGGGGAGTCGTCGGAGGAGCAGAGTGGAGGGAAGAGGAGGAGGAGGAGGCGGAGGAGGAGGTGGAGGAGGGAGAGGATGACGAGGAGGAGGAGGAGGGAGGAGGAGGAGGAGGAGGAGGAGGAGGAGAGGAGGAGGAGGAGGAGGAGGTAGGAGGAGGAGGAAGGAGGGAGAGGAGGAGAGGAGAGGAGGAGGAGGAGGGAGGAGGAGGAGGAGGAGGAGGAGGGAGGAGTAAGAGGGAGGGAGAGAGGAGGAAGGTGTCGGGCCCTCACCGGCGCCCGCCCAGTCGCTGCTCACAGCCATGCAGGCCTCCAAGTGGAGCCCCCCGGCGAGGCGCCCCGCGCGAGGGGTCAACCACCCAGCCCCCCCTCCTTCTCTTCCCCCCTCCTCGTCCTCTTCCTCCTCCTGCTCCTGCTCCATCCTCCACCTCCTCGTCTTCCTCTTCCTCCTCTTCCTCCTCCTCCTCGCCCCACCCTCCTTCCCTAACTCCCTTAGTTCCCTTGCTCCCCCCTCTCTCTCTCCTCCTCCCTCCCTCCTTCCTCCTCCTCCTCCTCCTCCTCCTCCTCCTCCTCTCCTCCTCCTCCTCCTCCTCCTCCTCCTCCTCCTCCTCCCCCTTCTCCTCTTCCTCCTCCTCTTCCTCTCCCTGTTCATTCTCATCCTTTTCCTCCTGCTCTCTCCCTCTTCTCTTCTCCTCATCCTCCTCCTTCTCCCTGTGGCCCTGTGGACCGCGTGGGTAACTGCTGATCCGCAGCAAGCCTTCCACCTTTCGCCTGTACCGCCCCAGGCTCCGTGGCCCGCCCCATGGCATGCATCCCAAGTTGTGCTTCAACCTTTATTGCCTGGAGCCGCGCTTTGCAGCCATGGCGCCGAAGGTTCCTGGGCAGCAGAGAAGCCAGATTTGATGTACAAATGTTGTACGTTTCGTGGCAGCTGTGCTCTCATCAATGATGGGTGGAATGGTCGTTGCGCCCAGTGCTGCATCCACAAGAGTGTAGCCTTCAAGCGCAACCGTCCCTTCAACCAGTCGTGTAAGTCCATTGGGGCAGCAAACCAGTGTGCTGAATGGGACAGATGGGTCTGCGACCTAAGAATTTGGACAACCATAGTTCGAAACTCAAGAAGGGAGGTACCAGAGCCGAGGAGACATTGAGTTTCCAGGCGAGGACGACCGTCCCAGGGAGGAGTTCCAGGGCTTCGAGAAGCACCACAGATGGTTCACCACGCATGGGAGCTGGGCCAGAGATCTGTGTGTGTGTAAAGGTCACATCGCAAATCAATGGCAAACGGAAGCGTTGGTACGACGAGGAGCCGCTGCCCGCCAGGCTTCAGGCATTGTCACTCCGAACCAACCAGGCGAAGAAGCAAACTGATAATACCGAATTATATTTTGTTCAAACCCGTTCGCAACTCAAGTTGGCGACAGCCGCGGTTGACATGGTGACGGCGGTGGTGGACGACAGCGAGAAGGACTACATCAAGATGGAGGAGGAGTTGCTTTCCCTGGCAGCGGCGAAGGAGCCGGAGGTGTAGGTAATTCAAGAGAACGCCATCACCCCCGCAGAGATCGACTCCAACACGGATGAAGGTGACCTTGCTGGCTTGTTTCATAAAGCTGAAGGGTTTGCTGTTCTGATCCCAAGGGCGGCGATCAGCACTTGCACGAGACGCTCAAGAAGCAGTCTAAACTTGTGTTAATTCCGCAATGGTGAGCCTGAGGTGGAGAAGGTCGCCCCGCTAGCCTTCAGAGTGAGTGCTGGAGCTGGGGCCGCTGAAGGGTTTCTCCTTTGTATACCCTCATGGGGCCCCTGCCACGGAAAAGGCCATCGCGGCGCTCAGCTGGGGGGTGGCCGTCGGCCGATTCAGAGCATACGCCGTCCGGACTCATCGCCACGTCGTGCAAGTGCAACGCGTGGTCGACGGCGTTATCGTTCGTGGATTGGGCCGTGCTGGATCACGCGCTGCAGGCGGGCGTTCATTTTTCCCGACCATCCTGTGGTGCAAGGTCTTCGGTTTTCGGTGTGAAGAGACAGCGCCCTGCGTTTCTTCCCTTCCCGCTGCCCCCCCGCTTCCCATCCCTGCCCCCGCTCTCTGCGCCAGTTGCATTTCGGCCCGCCCCATCGCGAGGTTCGTAGCCCAATAGGGAGCTCCACCTAGTGCCCCAGTGGCGGTGTTCGCGCGCGCTCCCCCGTTCATTTCGGCGCATCCCTTGCGCGCTTCTTGTTCCCATGGGGGGCCCCGCCGAAGGCCCTAGTGGCGGTGTTCGCACGCGTCTCTCCCGCCCGTGTCGGCGCGCCCCTCCGCGCGCATCGTGGCCCCGTGGCGGGCTCAGCCGAAGGCCCCAGTGGCGGCGCTCGCATGCGCCTCCCACGCCCATGCCGGCGCGCCCCTCGCAGGTTGCGCGGCCCCGCAGGGAGCTCCGTCGAAGGCCGCGGCGGCGGTGTTCGCGCGCGTCTCCCCCGCCCGTGTCGGCGCGCGCCCCGGCGCGCTTCGTGGCCCCGTGGGGGGCTCCGCCGAAGGCCCCAGTGGCGGCGTTTGCACGCGTTTCTCCCCGTCGGGGCCCCGCCGAGAGCCGCAGTGGCGGTGTTCGCGCGCGTCTCCTCTGCTCAGTTCCGCGCGCCCCTGTCGCGTTCCGCAGCCCTACGAGTCGTTCGCGCGCGGCTTCCCCGCCCGTGTCGGCGCCCTCCTTCGCGCATTTCGTGGCCGCGTGGAGCTTCGCCACAGGCCTCAGCAGTGGTGTTTGCGCGGTTTTCCCCTTCCCATTTCGGGGCGCACTCGCGCTTCTCGCGGCCCCGCAGGTGGCTCCGCCGAAGGTTCGCGCCCCCCCCCCCCCCCGCAAGTTTCGGCGCGCCCCTCGCGGGTTCTGCGACCCCGCGCGGGGGCTCCACTGCAGGCCCCAGCGGCGGTGTTTGCATGCGCTCAGCCCCCGCCCGCGTCGGCGCACCCCTCGCGCGTTTCTTGGCCCAGTGGGGGGCCCGCCGGTGGCCCCGGCGGCGGCGTTTGCGCGCGTCTCCCGCGCCCGCCACTGCTTGCCCCCTCGCGCGTTCCATGGCCCTGTGGGGGGCGCCGCCAGAGGCTGCAGTTGCGATGTTCGCGTGCGTCTCCCCCGCCCGCTTCCAGAGCGCCCCCCGCGCGTTTCGCGGCCCCGTGAGGGACTTCGCCGAATGCCCTGGCGGCGGTGTTCGCGTGCAGCCGCCCCGGCTCATTTTGGCATCCCTCTCGCGCGTTTCGTGGCCCCGCATGGGGGCCCCGCCGCAGGCCCCGGCGACGTTCGCAGGCGCGTTTTCCATCAATTTCCGCGCCCCCCTCGCGCGCTTCGTGGCTCCATGGGGAGCTCCGCCGAAGGCCTCAGTGGCAGCGTTCGCGCGCGTCGCCACCGCCCGTGTCGGCGCCCCCCGCGCGCGTTTCGCGGCCTCATGTGGAGGCCCCCCATCGGAGGCTCCAGTCGGGGCGTTCGCGCGCGCCTCCCCAGCCCATGTCGGCGCGCCCATCGCGCGCGCCGTGGCGCCGCGGGGGGCTCCGCCGAAGACAATGCTCGCAACTGCGTTGCTCCCAGCCGCAAATTGCGCGGTCCTTCGCCGGGCAAATTCAGAAGTGGCGCCTCGCGGCGGGCGGCCAGATCAATCGTGCATTGGCGTGTCGACGGCGCTTCCGTCTTCGGCTGGAGTGGGTTCCTGTCCTGGGGGCCACCTGCCAGTTGCCCCGCGCGTGCCGGCATCGCAATGCTCCCAATCTAGGATTGTCAAACATCGCGCCGTTCTAGGCAGCGTGCAGATTCTCATCTTGGTCTACATGGGGGTGGAGGTCGGGCTCGGTGGACTTTCATCTCCGTGGTTCTCACTCGGAAGCTGTTCGCGTAGCCTGTCCCCTTTTCTGCGCGGCCAGAGACTGGGGCCGCGGGGCCGAGCTCTGCAGGGGAGACAGCGCCCTGCGCCTAGGTCACCCGCGACTCTTGCGTGCGAAGACTGTGCGCCCAGGGGCCGTCGCCTGCGGCGACTCGTGCGTCGACTCTTTGTCCTCAGTGATGCCTTGCTCCCGCTTCTGAGCAGCGCGGGCGTGCGCGGGGGTGCCCCTGCGGGCCCCGTGGGGCCGTGGATGTCGGGTTCTGGCAGTCGCGACTATATAATATATGGTGGAAGTTTCAACCCGAGCCGTTCGGGCTTCCAAGATTGGGGCGGCGTTCGATTTAAGAGATGCACGGCATTGCCCAGGCTGCGACTTAATTCGGGGGGGGGGGGGGGGGCCGGTGGACAGCCTGGCGCGTGGGTGGCTTGATTATGCGGGGATTTGTCTTGCCAGGTAGACAGCGCCCCCCTGTCCAGGGCAGGCCGTGCTCTGCGACGGAAGCAGAGGTTGTCGCGCGCGCGGGGCAACGTATGTTCGTCGCGAGGCAGGGCCGAGACTCGGCGCTGTCTCGCGCCGCGGAAACTGACGATGGCACGGTTAAGGTCGCAGGCGCTGACTGCCCCTGATCGCGAAGCCTGTCGGGCCAGTGCTGCCGAGCGTCTGGGGTGGGTCGGAGGTTTGGGCGTTGGCGGGGGGGGTCAACCGGCCTCGCGTGCAGTCTTCTTCTCATCGGCTCTTTCGTTCGCAGCGGCAGCGCGAGGCTGCGTGCGACATCGCCCAGCAGAGGGTGATGGCTCAGGTTTCTCAGGGTGCCGCGGCGGCGAGGCTGTCTTGGAAGGATTTCACCGAGCAGGCGTTCCAGTGAGGCGATGGTCTGGCGCGCAGGTTCTCCAGCGGGCCCAAGGGGAACGACGGGCCCGATCTGGCGAATGACCTTCCCGCGGTGGGCCACGCGGCTCCTCCGGCCGTGCTCGGTCTCGGGTTTCCCGTTGGACATTGCTTGGAAGAGACGCCGAGCCCCGCCCCTTGTTCTGGGGCGTTTCTGATGCTGGTCTGCCCCCCCCTGAGTGGGGCCCGCGAGCTGCTCTCCGCGATGGTGTATTTTTTTGGTCCGGCACTGGGCTGGGCCAGAATGCCTTCCGCCCGGGATGGAGATCCGAGAGGCCGTCGAGTTGCTTGGCGGCCCCATTATGATGATGTGCGAGGGGGGGGGGCGGTGGAGCTTGTCCGCGAGCGTGGGAAATGCCCGTGGGGCCGCTTTCGCTTTTGGTTAGCCTCTCGCCAGGGCTGTGATTCATGAGGGTCTCGAGGTGGGTAACTTAGTTGCCGGGCCAGTGTTCCTGGGGGGGCTCCAGTTGGACCTCGGCGAGTCGGCTTGGGTCCAAGACGTTTTCGCCGCGGTGGCTCCCCAGTTCGGTCAGTTTCAGCGCGTTCGCGACCTCGGAGCATCGTGGGGTGATCGGTTGCGGCCCCCCCGGCCCCCCCGAGGC